AGGACGTACACTCGACTGCACACAAACCCAACATACTTTGCCTATCATTATCACTTCCAGATTAATTTTGTATCATTTGCAAATCCAGATAGCTCGTATTTGAATGTTTTATGCCCTTGTAAATTACATGTCCAGTAATATGCCCTTCTCCGCGTCTTGTGCTTACACAACCGTCATCAGCAATGAGGTTCGCCCCCTGACCCCGAAGCGGCGGCTTGCCATGTACCTCCTCCCTATTTCGTCCCATGTCTCGGCAGCAAGGCCAAGACGGTCGGTGTTCGCGCGTAGTAACTCGAAGAGCTAGGTAGCCCGTCAATGTGTCACACCCGAGGGGGTTCGTTAAGCCCCCACTAAAAGGTTATCAATGCAGCCTGGTCCTCAATCTCGAGTATGGTCGGGCCGCATCAGTATTTACCGACCTTGGCATGCGACTTGACTCGTCACGATGGATTAGTGGTGTGCGTGATTGTTTGTAACGAGGGTACTAGGCATTTGACTCAGAGAGCACGTATCTTATCCTCACTTCCCTCCGTCCCGTACCAATGAGCCGTCATGCTGGGCCTCCCTAAGATGTGGTTGGGCGCCGTGGCTGGACGAAACGAGACGTGCGTGGACTCTGCTTCGTGTGCGCTCAGCTCCCACGGGACTTGAAGTGTTCTGCTGGTTCCCAGTAATTGTAGAATTCGAAGGGACGAAGTCGCTGCTTCCCTTACCACCTTGCCTCGCCACCTCGCCTCGTGGTAGACCAGTCATTGGTCATTCCTGTCATAGGACCCAGAGACCTGGTCTGTCGAATTTTACGGGCAAAAGCTCAGTATGGGAAAGGACGGGTAATCGAACGAGCCTGGGGTCTGGTGCAAATGGTAGCCCTATGCAACCCCATGTAGGATTGAACGGGTATGGTTAGGCTTCTGAGGGAGCCGTAGCCCTTTATCACGAACAATCTCGTCTGACTGTTGGCCACTTTCGAGACGCGGATTTGCGTTTGTCCTTGTTCTAGTCTCTCGCTATGGCGTGGACTCTTCCACCAGTTCTGGCCATACTATGTTTGAGGGACAAGGGGAGGGCTAGACTTCGATTTTCATTTTTTCCACCAAAGACTTCCCCAAAGATTACCTGTAGAGGGTCATACCTGGGCGTTTATGGCGCCAGGTCAAGCAAGACTCCCGGATTCTAGATTATTTGTGACATCCAGGTTTTGATCGTTTGTCATGTTTGGGATTGTTTATAAGTAACTGGTGGACCGTGATCCCTCTGTCTGGATGGTTGGCCCCCACTCATTTTTTCTTAATGACGAGTTGGTGTTTCTTAGTTGAATAGTCACTAGGTAAATGAACCTCTAGCGGATGTCGCAAGAACTTATTTTTGTGCTTTGATCCTCAGCGCTGAGAACCAGCACTACCCGCGCTCTCCCATCGGAGCCTGTCGTCCCGTAATACCCCTTCTCGAAGTTCCAGATCCACCACTTCGCATACGACCGATTGCAGAACCGTTGCCCATTGTTAATTTACCCTCCTGTAGATAAGTCATGTTCAGACAGGGGTCTGCGGCGTGCCCAGTTGCATATTTTTTGTGACGACCTTTAACGGTGTTATCGTCGACCGTGGAACTCGCTGTCCGGTTGTGTACAGTTCGCCATTTCTCCGTCGACAACACAGAGCGCGTTAAGCTGAACAGCTGATTGTCTCCATTTACCCTCCGCTTTCACAGTAATACTCTACCCATAGTCATCTGCATAGTAGAGGTGTGAGGCAGACGAATTCTTCCCCAGTCGTACGCCCAATTCATCGCATATCTATTAACCTGAATAGCGCTAGCCTTCCAGTCAAGAGGAATAGTAAGAAGACGGCTTTACCGAACGCCACCGTGGATAGCAGACGCCTCACCGTTTTTTGCGTGTGCCCGAAACTCCGTGCCGATAATTACTGGCTCACAGACATTTACTTTGGAGGGCTTCAACCACGTTTACTCACATTCCTCTGCTCTTAAAATGTCCCTTTGTATAGTTTAATCAACGGAACAGAAACGGTGCATTCACTGTAAGCTGACCACCTTTCCTGGCCCTGAGCAGCCGCTACTGGGGCGGTAAAAGTGTGTTTTACCGAGTCTAAGCATCCCTGAGTACATGACAACGGTTCAGGAGACTGGTCAGAAAGATCTTCGCGTCTGTGGCACTGACTAGACTGAAGTATCGGCAATCCTGGCATTTCGATTTAGGTAGGATAACATTGTTTTGGCCCTGTAGGACAGACTTGGTAGGCCATGCTCAATAGGAAATTTCGCTGAGCCACTCTTAAATACCGACAGGTCACCCCAATCCGGCATTCCGTGTTTATTTGGTCTCTTTTGCTCCACAGGGAGTTGGATAATCATCCCAACTCCCATGTAGCGCGCTTTCTGTATCAGTTGGATTTTGCAGCTAATCGAAAGACTAGTTAAGGGATTTTATATTTTGCTGCAGAAACATTCGTCAACGTCGAATATCTGGGGTTCTGTTGTCGCGGCGACTGAATGAAAGCAGTGAGTTTCAAAATCACAAGTTAGGGTGACAACGGTGGAGGCAAGCTTTCTCACAGTAGAATGCACAACTGTTTGTGAGCAAGCGTTGGCTAGAATTTGGGTCGCCAAGTTTCTGTGACGAATGGGGATGGGATTCGTCCGAAACCAATCGACGGAAATTAAATTATCGATTGGAGTGATTCCTGCGTCAATGACTACACGAGCTTAGACACTAGTAGAGACGACCAGCGGTCGCTGGCGTCAGGGCAGTGCACTGCCCCAGTAACTTTTAAAAGTATTGTTAGAGGCAGACGCGGCCCACTTCCGGCAGACGCATGGATTGAGCTATGCATTTCGTCTGTTCCGGTTTCAGGCAACGGGTGACATCCAGTATCCATACTTATACCGTCTTTACTTATGTGGAAGTATTAAACCTATGTTGGAAACGAACCCTCATTTGACCAGCTGTTATCTGGCCTGTTGTTTTTATTCACTGGATGCTTTCCTTCGTCGTCACCACCATAACAATCATCATCATCATCATCATCATCATCATCATCATCATCATCATCATCATCATCATCATCATCATCATCAGCAGCAGCAGCAGCAGCAGCAGCAGCAGCAGCAGCAGCAGCAGTAACAACGACATCATCAGGGGGAGTTTCCGTGAGTGGATAGAATCTACATTTATGTTGGTAGCTGAGCCCCCTAGATCGCATTTGGGCTGCGGAGAAAGACTACGGTCTTCGTATTGAACCAAGGCTAACTCATTTCCACTGAAGTTGTTCTGCACGCTGTTCTAGTGGGATTATTAAATCATTGCAGATATTGAAGTCTCGGTAGTCCTGACATTTCGAGGTAGGCAGGATAACATTGTTTTTGACCCTGTAGGACAGACTTGGTAGGCCATGCCCAATAGGAAATTTCGCTGAGCCACTCGTAAATAACGAAAGGCCACTCCAATTCAGCATTCCGTGTTTATTTGGCCCCTTTTGCGCCGGAAGGAGTAGGATTATCATCCCAACTCTCAAGTAGCGCGCTTTCTGTATCAGTTGGATTTTGCAGCTAATCGGAAGACTAGTTAAGGGATTTTATATTTTGCTGCAGAAACACTCGTCAGCGTCGAAGATCCGAGGTTCTGTTGTCACGGCGATTGAAAGAAAGCAGTGAGTTTCAAAATCACAAGTTAGGGTGACAACGGTGGAGGCAAGCTTTGTCGCAGTAGAATGCACAACTGTTTGGGAACCAGCGTTAGCTAGAATTTCAGTTGCCAAGTTTCTGTAACGAATAGGGATGAGATTCACCCGAAACCACTCGGAGGAAATTAAATTCTCGATTTGAGTGAGTCCTGCGCCAATGACTACACGAGCTTAGACATTAGTAGAGA